TTTTGTCACAGGGTTTTGAAAAATAAAAAAAGAAAAAGAAAAAAACTGCATATTTTTTTTTTTTGTTTTCTTTCTTCGTTTTCCAAAAACATGTGGAAATAAATGAGATCTGCAAAATACTCACCATGCCTGTTCGCAAATACCTTGGAGTGTCTACTTTCCAAAAAGGGGTCATTGGAAGGGGTTGCCTCTACTCTCCTGGCATTTCAGGGTCAACATTAGAAGCTTATGCCACACATCACCCACTCTTGAAGACCAAGCCTTTTCTGACACTTTTTGTTCACATGAAAAAACTGTTCTTTTGCTAGAAAATTACGTTAAACCCCCAAACATTACATATTTTCTTAAAGCAGAGGCCCTAGAGAATAAAACAGTGGGTGATGAAATTTTGTACATCATACAGTATTTGCGCAGTGATTAATCAACCACATTTTTTGGGAAAAATACACTTGTTAGAATCTTAAAGCACAAAAACACAATATATTGCCCAAATGTATGATAAAATATAAAAGATGATGTTACACTGAGTAAATAGATACCAAACATGACATGCTTTAAAATTGCTTGTTTTTTGTAGTTAATTTGATTTTTTTAAATTCATTTACACTGTCCCTTTCTTTTTTCTTTTTGTATCACTTTTAATGCTATCACAGGGAATGCAAATATCCCCCATAACTTCAATGGGCATTGTCATAGATTCTTTTTTGAGAAATCTGGGATCTATCAGACTCTACATATCTCCTCTGCCCTTACATTATATAATCTCACCAAGATCGGTGTAGTCAGATGCTTTCCCAATTTACAAATGGCGCTGTTTATATCCTGCGAAACTGAAGTGATGAAATGCTGCTAGTTTCCGATTTCTTAGACTATAGCGATGATTGGAGCCATTCTGGTCTCTGACCAACTCTGTGGTCAGCCAGCGGAACTTCCAGCTGAATTCTCGGATTCCCCTGTGGGACAGGAGAGCCCAAGAAACTGTGGAAGGCAGCAGGGGGGGAATGTCCCTTTCCGCTGCTCGTAAAAACAATTCAGCATCTGATTGGCCACTAGGATTGCCTTTACATGAAAGCTGACCGCTAGCTGAAAAAACGATACCAGGATGATGCCTGTAGCTGCAGGCATTATCCCGGTATAACCACTCAAAGTCCAGCGACGTACCAGTAGATTGCTGGTCCATTTTGGGCATACAGTATCTCACAGAAGTGAGTACACACTTCACATTTTTGTAAATATTTTATTATAACTTTTCATGTGACAACACTGAAGAAATGACACTTTGCTAAAATGTAAAGTAGTGAGTGTACAGCTTGTATAACAGTATAAATTTGCTGTCCCCTCAAAATAACTCAACACACAGCCATTAATTTCTAAACCACTGCCAACAAACGTGAGTACACCCCTAAGTGTAAATGTCCAAATTGGGCCCAAAGAGTCAATTTGTGTGGCCACCATTATTTTCCAGGACTGCCTTAACCCTCTGGGCATGGAGTTCACCAGAGCTTCACAGGTTGCCACTGGAGTCCTCTTCCACTCCTCCATGACGACATCATGGAGCTGGTGGATGTTAGAGACCTTGCGCTCCTCCACCTTCCATTTGAGGATGCCCCACAGATGCTCAATAGGGTATATGTCTGGAGGCATGCTTGGCCAGTCCATCACCTTTACCCTTCTACCCTTTAGCAAGGCAGTGGTCGTCTTGGAGGTGTGTTTGGGGTTATGTTGGAATACTGCCCTGTGGCCCAGTCTCCAAAGGGAGGGGATCAAGCTCTGCTTCAGTATGTCACAGTACATGTTGGCATTCATGGTTCCCTCAATGAACTGAAGCTCCACAGTGCCGGCAGCACTCATGCAGTCCCAGACCATGACCCTCCCACCATGCTTGACTGTAGGCAAGACACACTTGTCTTTGTACCCCTCACCTGGTTGCCACCACACACGCTTGACACCATCTGAACCAAATACGTTTATCTTGGTCTCATCAGACTACAGGGCATGGTTCCAGTAATCCATGTCCTTAGTCTGCTTGTCTTCAGCAAACTGTTTGCGGGCTTTCTTGTGCATCATCTTTAGAGGCTTCCTTCTGGGATGACAGCCATGCAGACCAATTTGATGCAGTGTGCGGCTTATGGTCTGAGCACTGACAGGCTGACCCCACACCCCTTCAACCTCTGCAGCAATGCTGGCAGCACTCATACGTCTATTTCCCACAGACAACCTCTGGATATGGCGCTGAACACGTGCACTCAACTTCTTTGGTTGACCATGAAGAGGCCTGTTCTGAGTGGAACCTGTCCAGTTAAACCACTGTATGGTCTTGGCCACTGTGCTGCAGCTTAGTTTCAGGGTCTTGCCAATCTTCTTATAGCCTAGGCCATCTTTATGTAGAGCAACAATTCTTTTTTTTTCTGATCCTCAGAGAGTTCTTTGCCATGAGGTGCCATGTTGAACTTTCAGTGACCAGTATGAGAGAGAACGACAACACCAAATTTAACACACCTGCTCCATATTCACACCTCAGACCTTGTAACACTAACGAGTCACATGACACCGGGGAGGAAAAATGGCTAATTGGGCCCAATTTGGACATTTTCACTTAGCGGTGTGCTCACTTTTGTTGCCAGAGGTTTATACATTAATGGCTGTGTTGAGTTTTTTTGAGGGTACAGCAAATTTACACTGTTATACAAGCTGTATACTCACTACTTTACATTGTAGCAAAGTGTAATTTCAGTGTTGTCACATGAAAATATATAATAAAAATTTTAAAAATGTGAGGGGTGTACTCACTTCTGTGAGATACTGTATAAGTAACAGCAGAGAACACAGGCAACACGGGTCTGTGAATCAACATGACCGCAATTCATTATTTTTTGTAATGTCCATGTTGAGCGTTAGGCTCAAGAGTTTTAAATTAAAAAAACCGTGATAGCTTTGCGAATTGTCTGGCAAGAGCTGAATTTGGGTGGGCGGCGATGTATTGTTGTGCGTATTAATTGCTTTGCCCCACAGTCAATTGATACAAATTGTCAGGAATGGACTAGCCAGCAATGGTGGGACTCACCTGCCTTTTGATCTGCAGTACCAGGGCTGGCCAGCGGGTGCTCCCAGCAATCAGAGACTCAACTTTGCAGCCAGCTAACACCTGGAACTGATTATGCTGGGGTATTTAAGGGATGGCCAGACTTGCAGACTCGGCCTTGGTGTTGTGTTCTCTTGGGCCCTGTATCCTGTTCCTGTCTGATTCTCTGCTGACCCTGCTCTGATCCCTGGCTTGTCTGACCATCCCTCTGCCTGACCCTCTGTACTACGCTGCTTGCTACCTGTTCTGATCCCTGGCTTGTGACCCTGACCATCCCTCTGCCTGACCCTCTGTACTACGCTGCTTGCTACCTGTTCTGATCCCTGGCTTGTGACCCTGACCATCCCTCTGCCTTACCCTCTGTACTACGCTGCTTGCTACCTGCTGAACCTGGCCTGTGACCCCGACCAATCTCCGCTTGCTCCCCCTGTACCTACCTGCCCTATTGATATTGACCCGGCCTGCCTGACGACGCTTGCTTGTATGTACTGTTATCTGTGGGTGGTTGGTTGGTTTGGTTGCACTGTATTATGTTTAGTATTGCACTGCGTTTATGTTTGTATTGTTAGTGTTAATAAATTATATTGTTTATAACATATCTGAGGTCTGCGTTTCCCTGCGTCAGCCACACACCTCTGGTCACACCTGGGAGCCCTGACATTACACCAAGGCCAATCCTGACCAGAAGTGGCTGCACAGGGAAGCCATCTTGGCTTGTTGCTGGGAAGGATGGATCTGGATGAGGTTGTGTATTTATATCTGCTGGTGTTTGATGACAGGGAGTATGCTTATCAAACTCTGAAGGAGTATCCCAGGGATCAACTACTAGAATGTATACGGCTCGCTCATGTTCTAGTAGATCAGGGCACAGAGTTCTCTGAGGTGCAGCCTTTGATTGAGGTTTGTGCTGAGTTGGTTTCATCTGGTTCCCCCAATGCAGGGATGAATTTTTGCCACCATTTAGTGCAGACCAGGTAGAGTCCCTGGTGTGGTTAATAGAGGATGATGTGGGTTACTTTCTGGAGCGTTATTCCACATGTTCACCACAGACACTAAGAGATTGTATAAACGCAGTGCAGTCTTTGGTCAGACAGGCTTTGTGTAAGCTGAGCTTTGTTCAACCCATACTGCAGACATGGACAGACTTGTTGCACCCAGCCTCAGTCAGCTTACAAAAACCCAGTCCTGCTTCTAACTCTACTCCTGTATTCCCACCAGCTCCTCCAGTTACAGCCCAGTATACTTGGCTATCTACCGCATGTCAGTACCCTGTTCCCACTCGCTGCACCTATCCTGCCTTTAACCCTGTAAAAAAGCCCTCTGTAGCAACTGCTCCCTCTCCTGTTCCATCCTCCAGTTTTTCTCTGTCTCCAGCTGCTCCATTCGTTTGCAGACCTGCGTTTACTTGCAGTGCTCCAGTAGTTAAAACCAGAAAAAAGCGAAAATTCTTTCCAACCAATACCATCCTGCCAGTATCCAAACCGGTGAACCTGCCTTCCGTGACTCAGCCTGAAGCCTCTCTGAAGCCTCTACTCAGCCTGAAGCCTCTACTCAGCCTGAAGCCTCTACTCAGCCTGAAGCCTCTACTCAGCCTGAAGCCTCTACTCAGCCTGATGCCTCTACTCAGCCTGATGCCTCTACTCAGCCTGATGCCTCTACTGAAGCCTGATGCCTCTACTCAGCCTGATGCCTCTACTCAGCCTGAAGCCTCTACTCAGCCTGAAGCCCTCTCTTCAGCCTGAAGCCTCTCTTCAGCCTGATGCCTCTCCTTCAGCCTGAAGCCTCTCCTCAGCCTGAAGCCTCTCCTCAGCCTGAAGCCTCTCCTCAGCCTGAAGCCTCTCCTCAGCCTGAAGCCTCTCATTCAGCCTGATGCCGCTACTCAGCATGATGAACTGATCCAGCCCGACGATCCTATTAGGCCAGTTGACTCGATGCCCGCTGTTGATCCAGATGATCCGGTACCTGATCCAGTGCCCGCTGTCGTGCCAATTGACTCAGAGCCCGCTGTCATACCTGGTGACCCGGTGCCCACTGCCTTGCCAGATGACGCGGTGCCCGCTGGCAAGCCAAATGACATGATGCCTGGTGACCCAGTGCCCGCTGTCATACCTGGTGACCCGATGCCCGCTGTCGAGCCAGACAATCCGATACCTGATGACCCGGTGCCCCACTGTCGTGCCTGTTGACTCGGAGACGACTCGGTGCCCCACTGTCTTGCCAGACGACTCGGTGCCCGCTGTTCCGCCAGTCGACTCGGTGCCCGCTGTTCCGCCAGTCGACTCGGTGCCCGCAGTCTTGCCAGACGACTCGGTGCCCGCAGTCTTGCCAGACGACCCGCAGTCTTGCCAGACGACTCGGTGCCCGCAGTCTTGCCAGACGACTCGGTGCCCGCAGTGCTTGCCAGGCGACTCGGTGCCCGCAGTCTTGCCAGACGACTCGGTGCCCGCAGTCTTGCCAGACGACTGTTCCGCCCGCGGTCTTGCAGTCTTGACAACTCGGTGCCCGCAGTCTTGCCAGATGACGACTCGGTGCCCGCAGTCTTGCCAGACGACTCGGTGCCCGCAGTCTTGCCAGACGACTCGGTGCCCGCAGTCTTGCCAGACGACTCGGTGCCCGCAGTCTTGCCAGACGACTCGGTGCCCGCAGTCTTGCCAGACGACTCGGTGCCCGCAGTGTTCTCGCCCAGTTTCCGCCACTCGATGCCCGCAGTCTTGCCAGACGACTCGATGCCCGCAGTCTTGGACGACTCGATGCCGCAGTCTTGCCAGACGACTCGGTGCCCGCTGTCTTTCCGACTCGGTTGAGCAGTCTTGCCAGACGGTGCCCGCAGTCTTGCCTTGACTCTATGCCCGCTGTCATTGCCAGACGCCTTGCCAGACGACTCGACGTGCCCAGACTGTCGTGCCTGGTGACTCGGTGCCCGCCGCTTCGCCTGGGGGCCCGAGACCTGTTGCTGCCCGCCTGAGGGCCCGAGACCAGACGACTCGGTCGCTCCTCTGGGGGTCCGGCTGCCCCGCCGCTCAGTCTTGCCTGACGACTCGGGCCCGAGACCTGTCGCTCCGCCTGGGGGCCCGAGACCTGTTGCTCCACCTGGGGGTCCGGCGCCCGCCGCTCCGCCTGAGGGCCCGAGACCTGTCGCTCCGCCTGGGGCCCGAGACCTGTCGCTCCACCTGGGGGTCCGGCACCCGCCGCTCCGCCTGAGGGCCCGAGACCTGTCGCTCCACCTGGGGGTCCCGCTGGGGGCCCGCCGCTCCACCTGAGGGTCCGGCGCCCGAGACCTGTCGCTCCGCCTGGGGGCCCGAGACCTGTCGCTCCACCTGGGGGTCCGGCACCCGCCGCTCCGCCTGAGGGCCCGAGACCTGTCGCTCCACCTGGGGGTCCGGCGCCCGCCGCTCCGCCTGAGGGCCCGAGACCTGTCGCTCCACCTGGGGGCCGGCGCCCGCCGCCCCTCCCGGGGGGTGCCCGCCGCCCCGACCCCTGGGGGCCCGATGCCCGTCGCACCCCCGCCTGGGGGCCCGGTGCCCGTCGCCCCGCCCGGGGGGGGCCGTCGGTGCCGGTGCCCGTCCGCCCGGGGGGCCCGGTGCCTGCCGCCCCGCCCGGGGCCCGGGGCCCGTCGCCCCGCCCGGGGGCCCGGTGCCCCGCCGCCCCGCCCGGGGGCCCGGGGCCTGCCGCCCCGCCCGGGGGCCCGGTGCCTGCCGCTCCGCCTGGTGGCCCGCTGCCTGCTGCTTCGCCTGGTAATCCGATGTGCCTCTGCCCGGGTCCAGCCCGATGTGCCTCTGCCCGGAGTCCAGCCCGATGTGCCTCTGCCCGGAGTCCAGCCCGATGTGCCTCTGCCCGGAGTCCTGCCCGATGTGCCTCTGCCCCGTGTGCCTTTGCCCAATGTGCCTCTGCCCGGTGTGCCGCTGCCCGGAGTCCTGCCCGGTGTGCCAGTCTTTGATATCCCGCCAGTTACCAGACCCGGGCGGTGGAACATTTTGCCCAGCTAGGACTGTTTGGAGCGTCCTGAGGCCGCTCCTTGAGGGGGGGGTACTGTCAGGAATGGACTAGCCAGCAATGGTGGGATCACCTGCCTTTTGATCTGCAGTACCAGGGCTGGCCAGCGGGTGCTCCCAGCAATCAGAGACTCAACTTTGCAGCCAGCTAACACCTGGAACTGATTATGCTGGGGTATTTAAGGGATGGCCAGACTTGCAGACTCGGCCTTGGTGTTGTGTTCTCTTGGGCCCTGTATCCTGTTCCTGTCTGATTCTCTGCTGACCCTGCTCTGATCCCTGGCTTGTCTGACCATCCCTCTGCCTGACCCTCTGTACTACGCTGCTTGCTACCTGTTCTGATCCCTGGCTTGTGACCCTGACCATCCCTCTGCCTGACCCTCTGTAATACGCTGCTTGCTACCTGTTCTGATCCCTGGCTTGTGACCCTGACCATCCCTCTGCCTTACCCTTTGTACTACGCTGCTTGCTACCTGCTGAACCTGGCCTGTGACCCCGACCAATCTCCGCTTGCTCCCCCTGTACCTACCTGCTCTATTGATATTGACCCGGCCTGCCTGACGACGCTTGCTTGTATGTACTGTTATCTGTGGGTGGTTGGTTTGGTTTGGTTGCACTGTATTATGTTTAGTATTGCACTGCGTTTATGTTTGTATTGTTAGTGTTAATAATTTATATTGTTTATAACATATCTGAGGTCTGCGTTTCCCTGCGTCAGCCACACACCTCTGGTCACACCTAGGAGCCCTGACACAAATCTTCCATGAGGGGCTAAACGCTAGTGCTGGCAGCGGACAGGGCCAATCCTGTTAACTCTGCATTTTTGGGGACACTATACAAAGGAGGCACTACTATATTTTTTTAAATACTTTTATCAGAATAGCAACATTGTACTAGTGTGTGTGTGTGTGGGGGGGATGATCAGGTAATTTAATTTTTTTTTTTTTTTTTACACTTTGCTTTGGAGGAGAAATAAAGAACATTTTTCCTGCAATGCAAAGCTTGCTGTCATGAAACTAACTCATTTATGAACTGTCACAAATTAGTTAAGTTTTTGACAGCAGTCGCAAGTGGAGAGCGATGCCCCCACCCCCGTGTTAGTACAGCCAGAGCGACGTACAGGTACAACGCTTTGCCTGTAGCTGCCGCCCTGCTGCAGTACACTGCGGTTAATGAAACAAGGCTGACATCCTTTTTCTTGCACCCTGTAGCAAATATAGTATATTTTACTCAAGTTAACCTTTAAAATTACTTGTAAGTCTAGTTGAGCATCATTTGGGTTCAATTTTAGCCCTCCAGCGTGCACTCCTGTTTGAGATGCCTATAAACAAACTTAATCCATCCTTACCTTTCAGGTCGGAACACAGACAAGCCTTATAAGCCCTATAAACAATATAAAAATACTGAGTATACATAAACATCTTTAGTGCCATGCCCACAATACAATATCATTATTTACACACATTTATTTCATTAAAGACTGGACTGACTGATTTTGGAATCCTACAACAATTTCACATCTCAACTATAAATACTTTCACCTAATTTAAACAATTAATTCAAAAGGAAACTTTTATTCCAGTGGAGCCAGGATTCAATCCCTTATTATTTCTTTGGTGCTGTGCCATATTCCTAGGGCCAATTCACTATAGGGTATATATGGAGTATGTTTATGCTCTGCATCCTCTACTGAATTCTTGAAAGGTATCTATGGAGGCGTCACATAAGTCCGTGACAACAGTAGCTTAGCAGACAAGTTTAGCCTATCACAGTTGTCCCACAGGAGGTGGAGGGCTCTAGGCTAGATATCAGCATAGTCCCAGTGCAAAATCAGAGCCTACTGCCCCTCTAACAATTCCTTCTTGACATGATCATACATAAGATACTGTAAATATGATTTTGTTAGATCTGGTCGCATCAAATTAAATCACTAAAGAGAACACGTACTTACAGTTGTCTCTACCTACCCCCTAGGAGTAAGCCCTAATAGGTATTCACGAGGATAACGAGGATGACCAGAATTCTCACCATGATAAATTACTGATCTCCTATCTTTTGTTTTATGCAAAAAAGGACATTTTGTTAAAATGGACCTTGCCGACTCCCTCTGGGGTGTCTTCCTGGAGGGCTATGGTGTGTGCGGCCCTACCTATGTATACGATTACCTATATGAACTGGGGTTGTCCTTGGAAATATGATTAAAGTGTGGTCCCCTTAAACTTCCAACTAGTGTGACTTATCAGTACGCCCATTTGGATGGTGTGATCGAGTGCACTGGACAGGACTATAGATTTGCACTTTCCTGCCCCTATTCCCTTTAATCCTCCTCTTCTTCCATTTCCCATCCTTTTCCATTTCCTGATATCCTCAGCTGTGCAGTCTACCCCTTTCTACCTCTCCGTTGCAGTTTACTTCTTTCCACTGGGTATGGAAAACGTGTGGCAGCTATATTGATAAATCCTCGTATACACCAGCAGTTTTTTTGCAGCGCTCAGGAGGAGCCGCTGTATTAACAAACCGATGTTAGAACAGCGTTCTCCCCTGCTGAGCTATGGTGGTCTGACATTGGCTGAGAGCGCTGATCTGATGCCGATTGGAAGACCTTTTTTGGTCATGCCCCTTCGACAGAAGGCAGTCATGCAGCCGGCTTCTGTTGCACCGGCCGCCATACACACGGACCAAATGTCGGATGGTTTTTATTTAACCGGCCAATGCCGCCTGACACCCGGCCCCTGTGTACTAGGTTTCACACTGTTTATAACCTTTGTATGCTAATTGTGACCTTTTTTCCACAGTTGTTGTCTCCTTACACTGACTAATTGGACTGCTATGTATTTTCTTTTTCCTGATGATCGTTCGCAGAATTTATACAGCATTGTACCATGTTACTTTGTATATTTTATGTTGCTGCAATTGACTTTAATAAAACACTCCTATATTGTTAAATTTAAAAAAAAAAGATAACACGTACTGTAAACCTACAGCTAACATTAGTGGGGATGTAAAACACAGACAGGCTAAGCTAAGGGTGGAGAAACAATTATTTCATTTCTCCAAGATGTGAGATTGGCACTGAACCAATCCATTGCCAAATATTTATATATCTCAGAACTGAATTAATTTTCAATCATACATATGATGCAGTTTATTTCTTATTATGTTGCCTGGCGACAATGATTAATAGACCTATTACGCTACATATACTTGTTCATTTTATATTCCTGTTGAAATGAAGGAAACCAAGAATGAAACATTTTCTTAGGTATAATTTCATGTTTGAAAAGCAAATTGCCAGCCAAAAATAAGAATAAAAAAAAAATATTAGTCTATTAAAAGATAAAAACAGCTTTAATTGCAATATTCATTTTCTGGCGCTCTTCCCTGCAATACTTCTTTTAATGCCACAAGATGTTCTCAGTCTGCTGGCCAGCATCATTTAATCCATTTCTTCTGAGCCCTCCTCTGACTGTGATTGGATAGAAAAAAATGAAGCAGCACAGTTATAAGTTCATATTTCGGTCACTTGGCCTTTTCCTCCTATCAGCATCCTTCATGGCTGCATATGAACTTATTGGCTTGTGATGTTTCTTCCTCTCACACTCCATCCCCACTGAACAGGGGTGGTAGGGGACGCATAGCGGTCAAATTCAGAAACATAGGCTAGCCATACACACTTTGATTCTTCTTGTTCAGTCCGCAGGATAAGGGAATCTTCCTGGCCAGATGTCGTATTCAGACAGACACAGCAACTAGCACTGTCAGAATACCTCAACAGTGACTACATCTGATTGGATGCAGTCATTGTTTGCCTAAAAATTTTTAGCAAGCTGGGTGGTGAAGATAGGGTCACACACACAGCTCAAATTGTGGTCAATACAGTAGGCATTGGGTGAAATCTGAGCTGTGTATGGCCAGTTTTACATTGCTGGCATTTAACAAAAAGGTAATACACAGAAAATTATTGGTATTTGAGGGATTTGTGGCTTTAAAAAATAGGATTGCCACAGCTGGATACAAGATATAATGGGGCAGATCTATCGAGCCCATAGCTTCCTGAAAATTATGTCAGTCCTATATGAAAATTGGCTGCATCTAAATACCAGCTGCTCATGTCTTAAATTGTGACTAATGGAGCTGAAATTGTGGGAATGGCCTGGTGCTTAGTGGAAAGAGAAGAGCATAGCAGCTGCAGGGGATGGGAGTGGGACTCCAAAAGAGCGGGGCCTTCATAAGTGAATAAATACACATTACAGACACAATTTTAGAGTTTACATTAATCAGTGGAAGTGTGGTGCATCAAGAGACAAGGTTACTCACCCCATCACTGACTTCATCAACTAAGTAACAGAAAAAAAATACAAAATTCCCTATAAGTTAAAAGATTTAGGCTGTCCTTAGATCGAAAATCAGCAGGAACTAGCCAAATTCTGATCCCTCTATGGGCAAGCTGG